TAAGTACCTTTAGAGGTGGGAATTCAGAGAAGAACATAGGGTAGGTTTAAAAAATTGAAGATGACAGTAAGGCTGACACCCTTTTAAAAAACCTTTTGAGGTGGGGAAATCAGAAACAACATGGGCTAATAATAAAAGTTTAAAGGGGCGCACATGGGAGGGAATAAACAGGCTGAAAAGTGAAAACAATTTGAATAAAAAGGGTTTATCATTGGGCTTTAAATGGAACAGATCTAAGAGAAGAGTGGGGGAGGAGCTGAGGAGATTAGGAAGAAAACTTTCTGAGAGAGATACCAACCTAAGAGAAGGGAGACAAACCTAAGAGAGGGAGATATAGAGACTGAATTCATATACATAGAGATATTCTGCATTTTTATTCACTGCCCCCCTGATTTTGAGTCAATTTCATCGAAAGTTGATTGAATCTGGTTTGTTGTTCGATCAAAACTGATTTCTGGGCTGCTGTATATTATTTCCTGAGTTTGAAATTGGTTTGCTGATCACCTGTTGCTGCTGAATTCTACTTCACTGTTGTTACTGCTGATACCTCACTTTTCTGCTTCCTTCTTTTATTTCCAGGTACACGACCCTGTAACTCCTTTAGTTATAAAGTGAATTTGAGGAATGAAAAATGAAAAATGAAGAATTGGAGCATAGAAAATATTCCATTTTGTTCTTCTCTGATCTGTTTGTTTATTTGTGATTATTTTGTCCAAATCAGTTCAGTTAAGCATGTGGTAGTTGCTAGTAGAGAGTATATGATGTTAGTATTTATATGGTGAACCTTCAGTTCATCTTGTTGGCTTTATACAAGTTTAAATGATTTATGTTCATTAATAGAATAATAGAGATCCAATAAGCTAGATCCATCATTAACTGATCCATTAGCATCATGTATTAAAGTCTGAATCATCCTTAGATCCTAGACCTAGAAGAGGGAAGTACAAAAGAGAAGATGAATTTTTTTTTATGAAGATCTGAAGTCCATTGGGTTACTGAAATTTTGAAACTCAAACACTCCTCCTAAGTTTCTATAGATGTGGTTGATTTCGAATTGTTGATTTCGGTCTCAATGCATGTTGAAGCCTTGCTCCTTCATTTGGTACTTCTGGAAATTTAAAGGTTCTTCAAGCTGTTAGAAGTGTTTTTGTTTGGGCTCACTGATGTTCTCTGTTTGTTGTTGCTGGGATTTGTTTGCTGGGTTTGTGCTCCTCTTCTTCTGCCTTTATGTGGCATTTCTAAGTTGATTCCTGCATAATTAGGTATGTCAGATTTTATTTAGTTGTCTACCAAATTCATAAATATAAATTTGATTTGTTCGTGTTATATTAATTTCCAATTCGTGCATTCACTGTATTTAATCACTGGATTGGTCTACATCTGCTATGTTTGCCGACATCTAGCTTTGACTATTTGTTTTGAACTGAAAATTTGAGTTTGAAATCATTCGTTGTGCTCAAATACCATGCCATAGGTTCAGTTTGTTTGTATGTCCACTAATTAGCTATGTGTTTTGGTTTATTAGCATGTGCAGAATCTTCAACTTGCTTTAATTTCAAACTTTGGGAGATTTAAAAATTGGTTCATTGTCTAAGCTAATTTCGATTCAATAGTATAATGATGTTCATCCGCTTGAATTCATGAAATTATTACTAGTGAATGAAATTTGCATTGGACTCTCATAGATTAGAGCCACCAGAAAATAAGGATTCATCTGGCTATATATACGGTAGGCTCATTTGAGATAAAGTAGCGATTCTCTTTGTTTAAATCATCTGATTCATGGTGTGTTAAACTGTTGAATTAATATGCAAGTATGAGTGATTTATTGCTCTCTGTTTCATCAATGACAGATGCTACTATGTTTTGAATCAATCTTTCCCCAAGTTCATATTTTGATTAATAGTTGTTCTTGTCAAGATTTGGAGGTTCTTATTACTTTACGTTGGGTGTGAGCTTAATCACGAAATGGAAAGTTTAAATGAGACACTATATGATTTGGTAGAGATCACGTTGGATTTTAGCATGACCTTTCATTTTATTCCATTAACTTTCTTCATCAAGAATTAAGTCTAGATAAAATAGAATGGATAGTTAGGACTTATCTGCTTGTAGCATTATAAAACTATACTCGGTATAATTGATACATCAGGCAGTCCCTAATAATCAATCTTACTTTTCCATAAATTCTACCCCTGTAACCTTCGAGCACTACAATAATCTCAAACTTAGCAGATAATTAAACAACTTCGAACACTGTAGTTTGCTTTAGGCATGATTATTAATAAATCATCGTGGCTATAGGTACGATTCCCATGGCATAGTCATGATACATAATTCCCAAATTCAGGTGTGCATTTCATGTGACCCAATTTCAATTCGGTATGTTGTACCGAACAAAAATGACCATGGCATGGCCCTCGTATAATTAATCTTGTTTTACCTTAGAAATCGAGGCGTGCCACCTGGTGAAATTTACATGGCCCTTACAAAGTTGAAAGTGCGTAGTTGCTTCGGGCGCGCTATTTTAAAATTTACCTTCCTAAACTCGGGTGTGCATTTTATGTGACCCTAATCAAATCTTAAAACATTGAATAAAATATGTTTAGGATTACGGGTGCATTTCATGTGGCGCGATCCAAAGACATGTTTTAAACGACGCTCAATCCTCTTTAAATATTGAATAAAAGCGGTTAAAAGTTAAAATTTGCACATAGGTTCATAATTGTTTAAAATCAGATAATTAAGCTGAATATAACAGTTGAGCGACCGTGCTAAAACCACGGAACTTGGGAATGCCTAACACCTTCTCCCGGGTTAACATAATTCCTTACCCGGATTTCTGGTTCGCAGGCTACAATACAGAGTCAATCTTTTCCTCGATTTGGGTTTCGAACCGGTGACTTGGGACACCATAAATTATCCCAAGTGGCGACTCTGAATCTTTAAATAAACGAATCCCGTTTCGATTGTCCTTTAATTGGAAAAACTCCCTTATACACTCCTTCCAGGGTGTAGGAAAAAGGAGGTGTGACAGTCGTTGTTCCCACATTACGATTTAATCACAGGTACATTGCATTAACTTTCTGGGTTTTATTTTACAATTTAATTTCTGGTTTTGGTTTTGATAGTCATGTATTTATGATAAAATATTTTCTTAGGGTTTAGTTTGATAAGTGCATTAGTTTTACTTTTACGATTGTGTTTTTAGGTTTTTTGAACGAGTGTTTATGTTGTTGATGAAAATTTTATAAAACTTTTGTGATTAGACGTCCAAAATTTTAAAAATTTTGAGAGTTAAATAGATGATACTATTAAAGTGTGAAGTTTATAATAGTTCAATGATACATTCGATAGGAGCTGAAGTTTTTTTCATGTTTTGGTATTATTTTTGGATTTGAATTTGTGTTTTGTTTTTTGTAAAAACTACAACATATTTTTTTGCTGAATGTTTTTTGCTTGTAACTGGTGAAGTTCAGCCTTAGGAGCTGAAGTTTTTGTGCTTGTAACTGGTGAAGTCCATCTTTAGGAGCTGAAGTTTTTGTGTTTGTTACTAGTGAACTTCAGCTATAAAGCTGATGTTTTGTTTTGTAACTATCGAACTTCAGCTCTAGAGCTGATGTTTTTGTTTTATAACTATCGAACTTCAACTATAGGGCTGAAGTTTTTATCTTTGTAACTATCGAACTTTAGCCTTCTTAGGTATTGAAGTTTTAACTAATCTTTTTGATAATGTCCTGATGTTATTTTTTGTATCTTTTACTTTTTTTTGAACAGATGGCTCCTAAAGCACCTAAAGATCCTAATGCAGCTAAAGTAGGCAAAGCACCTAAAGCACCTAGACAACCTATAATACCCCCAGGTCCTTATGTCCCTACTCCTCCACCTACAAGACCAGGGCAAAGATATTTTGAGTTTGGAGATTGGTTTAACTCTAAGGGTTACTGGAAGGGGAACCATGATTTGAAGAAATTAATTGCAACTTTCTTGACTCCTACACAACGGGATAAGCTTAATAATAGTACATTTTGATACATTATGGCTATGGAGAATTTCAAATGCAGCATGAAGTTGGTTCATTGTCTGTGTCTTTCTCGAATATTCATGAATGATCGAGACTCCATTAGTTTCAAGATTTTTGGCCATGATGTTTCCTTCACCCTTGAAGACTTTCACATTATGTGTGGTTTGCGGATCACAGTACATAATGTTGAAAAACCAATTAATCGAGAGAGCAATATTCTGAAGCGCTATTTTGGTAAATCCAAGGGTGTGACTTTGAAGGACATTCGAAGTTTTATGACTCGCAATGAAATTCCAAAGAATGTTGTGAATCACGTACACGTATGCGAGAGTGATGATGATGCTGTTAAGCTTATGAAAATTCTTGTTATAGAGTTTATTTTGTTTGGGAAAAATACCGAGTCTTCTATGATGGAGGAGTATGAATCTATTGTTGAAGATGATAAGGTTTGTGTTGAATATCCTTGGGGTAATGTGGCTTATGAGAAGCTCATTTATTCACTGAAACATGCATTGGACAAGCAGAACAAATTACATACAACTGAGTATAAACTTGGTGGATTTCCATATCCGTTATGTGCTTGGTTCTATGAGCGCTTTCCAGATGTTCGGGAGAAGTATATAATAGAGGATGAGTACCTTGATACCCCTCAGGTCCCCAGGATGTTACGTTATGTATGTGTGGGAGAGCCTAAATTTCCCGAACTTTATCATATGTTCAGTACTCACGAAGTAAGTTAATTTTTTTTGTCTTTGTGTTAATATGTTGATGTATTAGTTTTTTTCTCATCATAATATACTTTTTTATATTAAACAGAGATATTGCGACTTTAGGGTATTGGATATAATTCCTACAGAAGAGGAATTGAATTCAATGCCTTTAATTGGACAATTACCATGCAACCAGATTAGTTCAAAGGTAGTTAATGCAGTTCCTTCAATTGGTGAATCACCGCGTACTCTGAGTCGATCAAAAGAAGCGAATCAAACTCCTATCATTGGTAAATCACCATGTACTCTGAGTCGATCAAAAGAAGCGAATCGAACTCATGTCATTGGTGAAGCACCACGTAGTCGGAATCGATCAAAAGAACCGAATCGAACTCCTTTTATTGGCGAATCATCTCGTACCCAGAGTCGTTCTACCTGTTCTACATCTTACTTTGATGACAATGAATTACTTGAGACAATATGTTATGTAAGTTTTGAGCTGAAGTTTTTTGGTTTTGTTTTTGTAAAAGTACAGTATGTTTTTGAGCTGAAGTTTTCTTCTATATCTGAATTTTTGTTGTGTATCTATTCTAGAGGTTAACGACGGAGGTTCAAAGGCATGCAGAAAAAGAAAGAAGCACGATCGTGAACGAAGTTTTCGATAAGTTTAAAAAGGAGGATTGATCTGCTATTGTGGATGCAGTTTTTGTAAAAGTGAAGGTAAGCTAATTTAAGAGAAGTCTTTTTATTTCTGCTGATATTATTCAGATTAATCATTGTTAGTAATTTTTTTCTAGGAATATTTCGATGAGAAGTTTGAACAGTTGTTTACGATTGTCAACAAATCAAATGGAATGGACGAGAGAAATTTTGATTTGAGTAACCATCGAGAATATGATAGGATGAACGACTGTTACGAACATCCATCGGCTTTTGAAGGCGATCAACATGTTCAAGAACAAGTTGAAGAGGAATGTTCCAGTGCTGATAGATTGAGCAGAGATGGAAATGATAAAGCACAGTTATCAACTGAGAATATTGGAAGTAATCAAGTTGTTGTGACTGAAGAACATATTGCTCGTGATGCATTGCGTAAAGTCGTAGATGATAATGCTACACATAAGGAAGCGACTGTTGAAGGCGATGAACATGTTCAACAACAAGGTGGAGAGGAACAATCCAGTGTTTGTAGACAGAGTAAAGATGGAAATGATGAAGAGTTAACAATTGAGAAAGGTGCAGATGATCAAGTTGTTGGCACTGAAAAACATGCACCGAGTGTGCTTTGGAAAGTGATATTGGAAAAGGCAATTTGTTTGGCGATGGAGATCAAGCACCTGTTTGTACTTTAGAAGTGAAAGCGAGTGATGTGTCTAGCACTATTGGGAAAGACGATCGGTATGCAGGATTACTAGCTATTTACAAAGAACTTCTAGGTGGTGATACACAGGAAATTGTTACTACAGGTACAAAGTGTGAAGTTTATAATATTTCAATGATACCTTAGATAGGAGCTGAAGTTTTGTTTCATGTGTTTGTGTTTTTTGTAAAAACTACAACATATTTTTTTGTTGAATGTTTTGGTTTGTAACTGGTGAACTTCAGCTCTAGAGCTGAAGTTTTTATTTTTGTAACTTTCGAACTTCAGCTCTAGAGCTGAAGTTTTTGTTTGTGACTGACTAACTTCAGCCTTCTTAGAGTTGAAGTTTTAACTGTTTTTTTATAATATCCTGTAATGAAATTTTCACTACATGTATAAATTTTTTCTATGTTATATATATAGAAAAACTAGTTGATCTATTCCCCCTCTTTATGAATATGTGGAAATTGAAACTAGTTGTGCCTCAATTGACACAACTCAAAAACTCTCTGATGATGCTGAATTAAATGAAGGTAGAGTTGAGAAAAACCTTCCAGAGAATAATCCAATGTTCCTCGATGTTGGTTCACAATTGACTGAAGCTGGAAATGCTGATATCGACAAAGGCATGTAGCCTGGGGAAACCACAGTAGAAGACAAATGTCAAGGTATTCTATAGATCATGAATTTATTATATTTGATCGAAGTATATTTTTTACAGTTTGAAATTTTACATACTTTATTTTCGTTTTTATGTTTTTGAATGACTTTTCAGAAAGACTCAAGGCAGCTCAAAAAGAATTTGGTGAGCTTATACAACTATATGAAAAAGGAGAAATACATATATTCACACTTGTTGCCTCACAGATGGGTGTGAAGTGTATTGGTATTACTTTATAAAATTTAGTCAGTATTATTTTTTTTTGCATGAAGATACAGGATCTGTTGGAATGCAAACACCATCTGTGTCGCAACACTTAGACCAGGTAGTTATTTTCTGCAATTCGATTACAATCTATTTTTTTTGCCTAATGTGTGTTTTCTATCAATTTTATTTATGTTTATATTTTCCTTGCTTTTGCAGATCTCATCTGATGCATCGGAACTTCTTCCCAAACCTAAGAGAAGGAAGATTTCTAGTTCTCCTATGTGTGATACCAGTGATATCCCCAACTTCAATTTATGTTCATTTTCACTTAGTAGTACATAAGGGACTATTTCAGAAGGTAATTTTGTTGCTGTTGTTGTTCGTGAAGAGACACAAAAATGTCGTGAACAGCAGAGAGTTGGTCAAGCATCTGCCACGATGGCTGTTGTTTTTCCCCCTGCTGCTGAACAACAGCAGTTAGTTGTGACGGAACAGCATGAAGAGCAAGCAAAAGGAAAACCAGATAAAATAGGAAAAAGGATTCGTATGGAGAGTATTTGGTTGAGATATCCTTACGTAGTTCATAAACGAAAGGAAAGGGTGCAAGATTGGAAAGTAGGAAAGAATATACGAAGGTGTCCCTTCCATTATGTTAATCAAGACAGTGGATTGATGCAAAGATTTACAGAGTGGTTGAAGATAGATGCCAGTGAATATGATTCCAATCCATTCATATTAGCTGGAATTGATATTCGAAAATCATTCTTTACCGAGCTTATGGATCCTAACTCTGATCTTGCAGATGAAGTAAGTTATTATGTTTGTTTTTTGAATTGGTTTTCAACTGTATTTCCCAAAACTTCAGCTTATTTTTTATAGTAAAGTTTGTGTACTGTAATTTGGAAAACTTCAGCTTTATTTATACTAAAATGCTGAAGTTTTTTAGCTTATTTGCTAAAACTTCAGCCAAATCGTGCTGAAGTTTTTGACATGCATTCTCTAGTTTTTTCAAAACTTTTAAATCAAACATGCTGAAGTTTTTTAGATTATTTTCTAACACTTCAAACTGAATAGGCTTAAGTTTTTGTCATGATGTTTGTAGTTTTTTCACATGTTATCATTTGTTGTTGTTTATTTGCAGCATATGGATGTGGGCATATATTACTTGCGCAAAAAATATTGCTATCACCTTCCAGCTTATCCAAAATCAAGATTTGCAGTAACAGATTTAATTTTTGATCAGTATATGACTAAGCTGGCTGGTATTCATCCTTCAGAAGAACAGATGGATAAAATTAGAAAAAGGAAGTAAAAGAGAATGGAGGATCAAAAAGAGAGCAAATCAAAGAGAAAGAGGATATCCAAACAACAGGCTCAAGAAGAAGAAGAAGAAGAAGCGGTTATTCGGTCATTACAGACTTTAGTTGGTTTGAGGAAGAATCAACAAATGAAAAGATGGCCAACTACGTAAAAGGCCTCGACCTTTCCTGTGGTATCTCATGGGCTTCTGCCAGAAAAGTATTCTTTCCATTTCGACTTAAGCCAATGACGGGCGAGAGATCTACGCACTACTTTTTTAAAATTCTGGACTTTAAAGATAAAATTATGTATGTGTATGATTCCATGGGCAATGTAACATATGAGCGTGCGGTTGAACATGTCAGAAAATATGACCGGTTGATCCCACACTGTCTCAAATGCTTGGAATTTGGGGCACACAATAAATTTTATGGGGCTAGTCCTGTGGAAAAATTTCAAATTAAGTGGATGACCTCACCGCAGCAGACTAACAAGTACGTGTTTCGCATATGTTTTACCATGCATCTTATGTTTATTATTTTTTATCCTTGTGTTAACTATTTTTCATGTTCTTTTTGTAGTGTTGATTGTGATGTATTTGCTCTTAAGTTAATTGATATGCGGTTGAATAAAGAAGATATCTTCAATTTCGATCAAAGTCAGTCATTGACCTTCAGGAGAGAATTGGCTGCCAATCTTTGGGCTCATGGAAAGTGAAAAAAAGATAGCGGCTATGAAATTGCAGAAGAACAACAAGGACATGATTATGGAGATTTTGAAGAGACTGTGTGTGAATTTTTTGATTAGATCGGTTGCACATAATTTGTATTTTGTGAATATACATTAAGTATTTTTTTTATTTCACTTTTGTTCATACAAATATGTTTGTGTCTTTTATTATGAATTTTAAGTACATTTTTGTTGAAAAAACTTAAGCATGAAATAAATGACTTCTGCTTTTTAAGTTGAAATTTTGGTTAAAAGTCATAACAAAAGTGTCGACTGTGTGACTCATACAAAAATACACGTTAACTCATACAAAAATACATAAAATATGCATTCTCACTTAGGATTTAATTTTATACTTTAGTATTAATTAGGAATTAATTTGTTTTAGAATAGGATA